ATGCAACGTGAATATTAATTTTAAAAATTATTACATCATTTTATTCACTGTCAGTCAACTCGCAGCGAAAATCCTTCAAAAACATTCCGCACCGGCAACAACAGCGCGAACACGATCCGTATTCAAACCAGTTTTCGCAGCGCTCCACTGGACACACATGCATCCTGGGGGGTGGAGGCGGGGGAGGGGGGCGTTGTTGATATTTCGGGGGAATCCGACAATCCCCCCCCCTTCAGTCCCCCCCGCCCATCGAGGAAGACCTAAGGACGATTGCGGTCTCGAAACTTTCACTCTCAAAAGGAGAACCTTTGGCTCGCGATAAATTACGGAGGTGCCGTCACACCCCATACCGATGTTTTAGCAGACTCATAAGATGGATGGTCCGTTGATTTTACGAAAAGTCAATAGTGATGTCACTTCTGGTTCTTGACGGGCGCGCCGGGCCGGAATGGGAAGTCGGATCTCAGGCCCGATTGTTTTTTCAGCGACTAATCATCAAATTTCATAGCTTCGGAACGTCGCAGTCGTCTAACTTGTCGATCATTAATTGCCTGTCTCACCTCTTACGGTCGTGAGCTCCACCGTTTTGATCCGGGTGCAGCTTATTCGAGGAACCGCATATCGGCAAGTGAGTCACTGGGGAATGGGAGGATTATGTGAGGAGATAATTTTTTTCTCGTTTTCTTAAGTTTGAAATCGTTTTCAAAACAGCCAAGTTCCGATACCCGGATTATCGTTTTGCATAGTTCATATTCTTTTGTTATATTCCGTACCACTCGTTTATTTTAATTCCTCGTAGAGAAACCACCCATTTTCTAAATACAATTCTAGCTGGAGCGCACTCCAGCTATGCATTCACCACTACAAAAATGTCAAAGGAATTCGGTACGCCCAGCGTGCATGGAGGCTATTTCCATTTAAATCTTCCGTCACATTCTTACGGCGCAATGATACAACTATTTGAACTCTCCGGAATGCGTGAGGTATCACGCTGCATTTGAAGGCGTTTTTAAATCAGCCAAGTTCCGATACCCGGATTATAGTTTTGCATCGTTCATATTCTTTTGTTATATTCCTTGCCACTTGTTTATTTTTAATCCTCGTAGAAAAACCACCCATTTGTAAATACAATTCTAGCTGTAGCGCACTTCAGCGATGCATTCACCACTATGCAAAAATTTCAGAGGAAATTGACAAGCCCAGCGTGCATGGAGGCTGTCTCCATTTAAATCTCCTGTCCTATTCTTACGGCGCAATGATACAACTATTTGAGCGCTCCGGAATGCGTGAGGTATCACGCCACATTCGAAGGCATTTTCAAATCAGCCAAGTTCCGTTATCGGAATAATCGTTTTGCATAGTTCATATTATTTTGTTTCCATTTCTAACCACTTGTTTAATTACGAGGGGCGTTCAATAAGTAAGTATCCCCCCCTCTCTAAAATCAAGAGGAATGGACCAATTTTAAAAAACTTGGGCTCAAAATCTTTCTTAGGATATACTGAGTTCAACAAAACAAACCGCAACAAAATCGGACCTAGTGCGGCCGAACGCGAGCCGTTTGAACGCGCCGAGGTGCACGCCGCTCCCGCCGAATCCGCGGAGATTTGAAGTCCGCGACAAGAGAAGAGCTTCTCTGCCAACGCTTCAGTCGTTCATCACTGACGAAAAATCAAAGAAGTTTTTGTAGAATAAGAGGCTTACCTCACCTCTCCACATAACCAGATCGATCCAAGCAGGTCTGATACTGATTGTGAGACTAAGAGAACAGCTTTTGGATACCACGCATGTCGAAGTCTTTCAACTGGCTAGGGATGAAAGTGTTGACGGCTTGTTTGACCTCTTTCACTGATTCAAAATGAACTCACCCGAGTTCAGATTTTAGATACGGAAATAACTGGCAAAGCAGACCACCATTTATTCCCCTTTCTGAGATCTGAACTCAAGGGAGTTCATTTTGAATCAGTGAAAGAGGTCAAACAAGCCGTCATAACACTTTCATCCCCAGCCAGTTGAAAGACTTCAACACGCGTGGTATCCAAAAGCTGTTCTCTTAGTCTCTCAATCAGTATCAGCCCTGCTTGGATCGATCTGGTTATGTGGAGAGGTGAGGTAAGCCCCTTATTCTACAAAAACTTCTTTGATTTTTCGACAGTGATGAACGACTGAAGCGTTGGCAGAGAAGCTCTTCTCTTGTCGCGGACTTCAAATCTCCGCGGATTCGGCGGGAGCGGCGTGCACCTCGGCGCGTTCAAACGGCTCGCCTTCGGCCGCACATGGTCCGATTTTGTTGCGGTTTGTTTTGTTGAACTTAGTATATCCTAAGGAAGATTTTGAGCCCAAGTTTTTTAAAATTGGTCCATTCCTCTTGATTTTAGAGAGGGGGGATACTTACTTATTGAACGCCCCTCGTACAATCCTCCTATAAAACCACCCATTTGCTAAATACAATGGACCACTAGACAAGGTACGAATTCAAGCAATCTGATTCATGTTCCTTAACCAGAATTTCACGTAGAACACGATTCGCGCAACGAAAATTACTGAAACCAGCTCCTGATGAAGATATTAACCTTTTTATTTCACATTGGTTACGCGGATTTTGAACTGCCCGCTCACAAGAAACTCAAAGCTCTACGTGAGTCAAATCGCGCACCACAACATAGCTTCTCAATCGATCACTGTTCATAACCTACCATATGTTGTTCAAATTATAAGCAATTTGCTATAGCTGAGCCCGCAAGCGTCAAAATTGAGGTTGCCAGATTTTTATATCGCAAAGACTGTCATGATAATGTTCAGCCCGCGATGTGAATCACGTAGAGCATTGAGTTTTAATGAGCGGGTGGTTTGAATTCACGCATCAGGAATCATTTAATATCATTGTAAGGAGTTATTTTCGGTAATTTTTGTAGTGCGCATCGTGTTTTACGTGAAATTTTGGTTCACAAATATGTATCAGAATGCTTATATTCGTACCTTGTCTAGTGGTCCATTCTAGCTGAAGCGTACTTAAGCGCATTCATGACTGCAAAAACGATAACGGAAATCGAAAAGGCATGAAGGCTATTTCATTATTGTAATCTTCCGTTGCATTTCTAAGGCGCAATGATACAACTATTTGAACTCTCCGGAATGCGTGAGGTATCACGCCGGTTTTGAAGGCGTTTTCAAATCAGCCAAGTTCCGTTATCGGAAGAATCGTTTTGCATAGTTCATATTAAATTTTTTACATTTCTAACCACTTGTTTAATTAGAATCCTCCTATTGAAACCACCCATTTGCTAAATACAATTCTAGCTAAAGCGCACTTAAGCGCATTTATGACTGCAAAAATGCTAACGGAAATCGGAAAGGCATGGAGGCTGTCTCCATTTAAATCTTCCGTCCTATTCTTACGGCGCAATGATACAACTATTTGAACTCTCCGGAATGCGTGAGGTATCATGCCACATTTGAAGGCATTTTTAAGTCAGCCAAGTTCCGATATCCGGATTATGGTTTTGCATCGTTCATATTCTTTTGTTATATTCCTTGCCACTTGTTTATTTTTAAGCCTCGTAGAAAAACCACCCTTTTGTAAATACAATTCTAGCTGTAGCGCACTTCAGCGATGCATGAACCACTGCAAAAATGGCAAAGGAAATCGATACGCCCAGCGTGCATGGAGGGTATTTCCATTTAAATCTTACGTCACATTCTTACGGCGCAATGATACAACTGTTTGAACTCTTCGGAATGCGTGAGGTATCACGCCGCATTTAAAATCATTTTCAAAACAGGCAAGTTCCGATATCTGAATAATCGTTTTGCATAGTTCATAGTATTTTTTTTTCATTTCTAACCACTTGTTTATTTATAATTCTCCTATAAAAATTACCCGTTTGCTATATACAATTCTAGCTGTAGCGCACTTCAGCCATGCATTCACCACTGCAAAAATGTCAAAGGAAATCGACAAGCCCAGCGTGCATGAAGGGGCACTTGAAGGTTTTTTCATTCAGCCGACAAGAGAGTAAGACCTCGCAAAAATGTCCCTCTCATTCTTAAACACTGTATTTATAAAAACTTAACATACTGGGAAAATATTCCAGGTTGAAAATCTTTTAATGTCAGGCTTTAAGAGCCATAAGTATAAGTTAGTTTTATAGTTTTAGTTTTTTCGCAAGGGAAAAATTGCAGTTGGTAAATATAGGAGCAGTTTAGTTCCACTAGGAGTTGAATTTTGAAATGTTGTTAATTCCAACATGTTCCATGAGCAATCGTTTGAAAGTTGTCGATAAAATGCAATGATAACATTCCTGGACAACATAAGTAGTTTCATAAGGATATTCATCATTAAATATAAATTCTCATTTGTTATATTAAAGAAGTCGTACTCTAAAATGGATAAAGAACAATAAAGACTTTTATACAGTACATACCAAGTTCATGTTTTCACTGTCAAGAGAGAAGAAGAAAGAAAATGAAAAAAGAACTTTACACTACGGAGTAACAGCAAAAAAAGAAGAGAAGAAAAATGAGCCTTTTCACGATTACCAATGATGACGTCATGACATGATTGTTTTACTGATAAGGGAATTTTGGGCTAACATTACGTTTCCTTCTCAAGAGGTGTGAACTTAAGTACTCGTTTAAAACTCAGAGACGCCCAGCATTATATTATCATGAGCCGAGAGAGGACTAAATAATCACCACAGTTGGTCTGCTTGTGGAGAAATTTCGCCTGAACTAGTCGATTGCATTGATATAACCTCATCTGCATTGCTTGATTTTGAAGGCGAAGTTTTTTCACCAACTCTCTAGCCTGAGTCTGTTGATTGATTGTATTAAATGTTCTGCACACTAACATTGACCCAAGCGCAACACCGCAGTGAGAAGCGCAGTTTCGAATAGTTCTAGAAGGAAAATACTCATTGAATTCAAATCAAGAGAAACAGTAGAAATGAATTGGCATGCAGTTTTATGTACACACATTTATAGTTTTAAACAGTTTATAGTTTTAAATGGCCGCAGATAGATATTTATTCAGAAAATGAGTGTGCTGATTTTGGATTGTCATACTTTGCCCTCTGTGTACCTACCTGACATCGAGTATTTCTTTTTCTTCAACGGGTAGTGTAAACGATTCCGTGTTCCACCGGAAAATCCTCCTGAGAAATTCAGCCATCTGAAATTAAAAGTACTCAATGAGTTTCATTTTATTTATCAAAATCATAAAACCAGCGATTTCCTGCTTTAAAAGTTACCTATCAAAATTTTGGATTCCGCCGATCTGTGAGATTTATTTAATACTTTTACTATGGGTACAAAGACTATCATAATTTGTTATTATTTTACTTCCTCATCAATGAATAATCTTTGAGAGATCGTTTATAAGGTGAGTGATGTATAGTAATAAAGGATATCCAGAGCAATGGTACGAGTGCTTTACGGAAGAGAGACATTACGTGACGATTTAGTTTAAAATATTCTGCAAATTTTTAAAGAGATAAGGATTTTTGGGCCGATCAATTTCACCGATCAGCATCAAACCGGGGAGTAGGGTGAGGATCTAGGACGATTTCCCGGATTCAATGTTATTTGTGATGGGAGAGTCCTGAGTTTTTAATACCTGCACGCTTCTACGAAGAGAAAGAAAATTTTTTAAAAAAAATAAACTGAGTAGAACATTTGGATATTAGAGGAGGATGGATGCAATTGCCTCCTCCCTCTGGCTTGTAAATTTCATCTTCTGTGGAGAAGATTTAATCGATTAAGATGTAGAGCATTTTTAAATCTTGTGTTCTTCGTTGCACCAGTGCACCACCTGGGATCGTTATTCCTGACGTAATGAGGTAATAATTGACGTAATATCCACCATCTCTGAAAATTTCCAAGATAAGAATGAGACATCTTAGCCTTCTAATTCTTACAACTTTTCCTCTTTTTATTCAATGAACGACAAGATATGTTCCGTGCATTGTTCTGTACATCATTTTATGAACAATGAATATCTAGTCATTCGCGATCAGACAGCGTTAAAAAGTTTAAAATTTAAACAAAATATCGCTAACAACGAAACGGTGTTTCGGTAAATATATCGATGCTAAAACTAGAAAAAACACGTATCTTGGTTTTGTTTTCTGATCTGTCATGTTCCGTGTCTCTAAGGGAAACTGATCTAATATATTGCAAGAAATTTAAAGGGATCTCCTTTGTCTATTCGATTCTTTCAATGCCAATCTAAAATATCCGATCATACTTCGTTGGAAAATCAAATATATGAGCGGAAATGTTGAAACATTGCAATCGAGGTACATATTTTTCAGTAGCATCATCAACATTGGGAATAAAAGAAGATCTCGATTGGTTCTCCTAATAACTTTGTTTTTCCGTTTTCCTTCCCACCTATAACTTCCTCCACTCAAATAAAATTAGCAGTGAGAAATAATGGGACGCACAAAAAAAAGAAGAAGAAGTTTGTGGAGTGTTTGTAAAATTTGTGAAACTAAATTTTAAAATTTTATACTGACATTAATCTGAAAATCACAGTGTTGATTTTCTTCACTAGGTTCAGGCTCCGATTTCTACAGCGTTTGTTTTATATTCTACGCAAAGAATTATTGCGTTTATTCAGTGAATAGACTCGTGTTTCTTTCAATGGGTGAATTGCAAAAATTAATATAATCATCATAAGTATACGGAGCCTGTGAAGCCTGTGCCGAAATCATTAAAATCTCCTGAAAATTCCAACTTCTGCACAGCTTTAAATCAATCTTTTAGAAAGATTTAATCTTTACACGTACCTCGTAATTACAGGCAACCTTAATAGTGAAGACATCAGATTCCCATTTTAATAATGATTTCATGAGTCCGGTGGGAATCCCGGACGCAAACAGAATCCCGCGAGTTACTTCAGTCGCGACGCGAAAAAACCGGGTTTTTGAGGTGTTTCGCACATCGTGCTTTTTCAAAGCTCAACGGTGCTGCCGTTTCAACCTAAACTATCTAGTTTCCTTCTTGCAGCGGTGATTTTGCAAGTTATCTACGCTGTTTTTCCACCATTTAAATCCAAAAAGAATGTGAATTGCAGGCGAGGCAAGCTGCCTCTGCAAGAATCGATTTTTTAGGTACATACATTTAGATGGAGAAAAAACGGTGTTGCCAACTTTCAAGAATCGCAACTCGTCGTTTTTTTACGAAGAAACGTAACTTCATTCCAATGTTGCCAAGTCTCCTGTCGCAAATTATATTTTTACGAGGAAAATCGTAGGAATTTCCGACTGAAAATTTCACTGATTTCTCCTCTGCTCTCATGCAAAAATCAAATAAATTCCGGACAAAAATTTCCCAGGTATATTATTGTAAAAAATCGAATTGTTTGAGTCAATTTTGCAACCTTGGAATGGAGTTACGTTCCTTCGTACGGGATCCGACAAACTGTCTATATAACTCGCCACTAGTGGGAATAATTCGAGTATATTTACTCTAAAAGGGCAACATAGCGGTCAGCGAATATTCGCAATCCTCGCGTGGATGCGCCGCGCCGCTCAGTCAGGAACGAGCCATCAAGAGAGGTCAGACATGAATCTTTTTTATTAGAACTAAAAATTTTAAGGTTTATTTTGTCACGTTTTAAATGTTATGGGGTGTTCCTTACAGAAAATTTTGTGAGCAAATTGATCAACTCATTTTTGAGCTACTGCGTTTGGTAAGCAAGCTTTTAAAGTGTTTACATCTTGTCCGTCCTCTCTTATTGACTCACTCCGGTGTGCGGCAATTCAATCACTGCTACTCGATCTGTGCTGCCACATCAGGTGCCACATACGTGTCAAATGATTTTCTTAACCGGTCCTGATAACTCGCTCGCCAATTGTTTCATTTATTTTAGACGGGGTTATTATTTCCAAATGGACTTATTTATGCTAAAAGGAACTATGTTACACGCAAACCCTTTGCACATAGTTTCTTTTAGCATAAATACGTCCAAATAAGAGAATTTTGCTCCCTGGATTCTCAAAAAAAAATTTTGCCGCGTCACCGTAAGTTCAAAATTAAATTTTAGACAAAATGACCTAAGTATTGCTCGAACAAATGAATGTATAGAGTATACGTCCGTTGTTTTTCGTAAATTTCCAAGAATCATCCACGAGATTATCAGTATTTTTAGCGTTTAGAGTGCTAAATAATCGACAAATGTTCGCTTCTACCATAAATTAAGGAACTATCGGTTCAATGTTATGCTCAAGACAATTGCGGGTCAGTGGCGTGGCGTGAATTGCGATGTATCGATTGTTCTGCCATTTAAACCTATGGTAAAGAATCAATTATTAAGGTGTTCGCTGCGAACACCCTGTTCATCGATACTTTTCCATAGGTTTAAATGTCATAAAAATCGATTTATCGCAATTCACGCCACGCCACTGTTGCGGGTGGTCTTCTGCATGATAGTTTTGTTGCGTTTTCAACAAATAACAAGCAAATTATAAAGCTGAATGTCGGTAAGAAAGGATGTTCTCTTAGAAAAGACAGCAGTAAGTATAGCCCCTTCGCGGAATAATGTGAACTCACTGCTTGTCGGAAACAAAGTCGTTTTCTGCTTACTTGCACTGCTTTGGTACAATACCCTCGTAACTTGTAATTAGGGCGAACTTAAATGTTCTAGCAGAATCGATCAGTTCATTTAAATTGGCTAAGAACATTTTAAAAAGGTCGTAACTGCTCTGTTTGGTAACACGGCAGAGTCGGCAGACGGATACGGATCACTCTCAGAGGATGCAACTATTTTAGCGCTTGGGAGCGCATTTTGCCTACCCGGTTGAATTGAAGGCGATTCAATTTTTGTAAAGAGGAGCGTCGTTGTCGTAACAACCTAGCAAGCGTATGCAGTTTATATTAATTTGAACGATTAAGCAAAGATAGATTCATCTTGTCGATATAGCCGCATCCTAACAGGTGCTATGTAATTTTTTTTTATGAAACTATGAATGGACTGGATTTATTACCACAGAGAGGCCAAGGTCGGCATTTCACACGCTAGTTGAAACTTAAGAGTTACTTTTATATATTGTAATCCTTATACACAAGGTAATTTGGAATGCAATTTTTAGTGTTATTCCAGGAGGGTATGTAGCTTCCTTCAGAAGAGTTTCAAAAAATGTCTTAATTCACTCTAAGTGCAAAGAGAGCAAAAGACGTTTGAATGTTTCTTCGTCTAATTTATTATTTGATATAAATAAGGAGAAAATTAAAACATGGGTAAACAAGGCTAAAAAATTGGAAACATTAGGAGGCAGGACGTTGTGAGCCGTTACCAGCTCATTTTCAGCTGCAAAAAAAACACAAAAAAATAAATAAAAAATTGAGTGGCAACCTGAACCCAGCCGTTATCACGTAACCACTATTATCCCTATTTATTAATTAAGTGGGAAAATACTTAACGTCAATTCCTCAGATGTGCCCTGGATTTTTTTCTTCACGCAAATAATATTCTGTGAAATTTTTAAAAAATAGTATTATTTCGTCTCCTTTTGATAAATTAAAACGGAAGCGGAGCTTTTGAAATACTGAAAATGAGAAGCGGGTTTCAGCGTTGCAGCGTCGAAATATCGAGCGAACGGCAACCGTGTTTTTAATAGTTATTTGACCAAGGTCACGTCTAACAACAGGTAACCGAGCACATGTGACCGACTGGACAGAGGTGGCTCTGGTGTTTGTTGACAACTTGGAAGTCTTGACTCCTCAGTCATCCGCGATTCGTTCAACGACATCGAGCATTCCAAGGATCGAGAAAGTGCGCGCCGTCACGTGTTGCAAAAATGCTCAAATTGCGACTTTTTTTTTGCAAAGTTTGTTGATTTTTCGAAGGTTTGCACACCTGGAATGGTGATCGTGCGAGGTTTCTAAGTGCGGTCTCGTTGAAAGTGAAAAAGTGCGATACTCTACCTCTTCCTCTTGACGAAAAATCTTAAATAATTTTTTGAGCGTGCTATTACAGCCACTCTACGGTGTATTCTGTAAGTAGCCATTGGGAGTTCACCTTTGTGACGTATACCCTACGAAATTAATTTTTTTGGCCATGCGTATTCATATAGGGGGTATTTTGCGATTATTTGGCGATTTAATGTAGACGTGATAAGTGTAAACAAAGCTAATTTTTATGTCTGCGCGAACACTTGCAAAAATGTA